AGCAGCCCAACCGCGGCTCACTGCAACCTCCACCTCCTAGGCTAAAGCAATCCTCCCACCTCAGCCTCCTGAGTAGTCAGGACTACAGGCATGTGCCACCACGCCCAGCTAATTTTTGTATTTTTTGTAGAGATGGAGTTTTACCATGTTGCTCAGACTGGTCCCAAATTCCTGGACTTAAGTGATCCACTCGCTTTACCCTCCCAAAGTGCTGGGATTACAGGCGTGAGCCACTGCACCTGGCCAACTTTTTATTCATATGTGAAGACAATAGAAAGACATTCTTCTATCACTAATATTTACTTAATTAATATTTCTGAGTGCCTTTGATATGACAAGCACTATGCTAACTGCCATATAGGGAGAGGTGAACAAACAGATGGGAGCTTGCATCCTAGAAAATTTTGCCTCTGCACACCTTGCTTGTGATAATAATTATAGGGCATATGCCAAACACTGAGCTATAAATCTGTGAAGGAAGGATGTTGCTTACTTATCACAAGCGATAACCAGTGATACCAGTATCTATGAGCCATAGAAATAAAGATTGCCTATTTCCCTGACTAGATCAGAGGGATACAGCTTAATTCAGAAGATAAAGCCTTTTCTTTTTTTTTCCTTTGAGACGGAGTCTCGCTCTGTCACCAGGTTGGAGTGCAGTGGCATGGTCTTGGCTCACTGCAACCTCCACTTCCCAGGTTCAAGCGATTCTCCTGCCTCAGCCTCCTGAGTAGCTGGGATAACAGGTGCACACCACCACACTCAGCTAATTTTTGTATTTTTAGTAGAGACAGGGATTCACCATGTTGGCCAGGATGGTCTTGATGTCTTGACCTCATGATCTGCCTGCCTAGGCCTCCCAAAGTGTTGGGATTACAGCAGTAAGCCACCGCGCCTGGCCGAGAAAACCCTTTCTTTATTGCAGCATTAGGCACCCCCAATAAGAGCCCACTCACATCACCATGATAAACAGAAACACTGCAGGGGAAGAAATGATCTTGCCTTTGGGCACCAGGACATTGGGACCTCCATGTAGTCTACATCAGTAGATCATGAGGACAAACCATTTATCAAATCTGGGAAAGACAAAAGGCAAACATAAGATTGAAAAGTAATGCAGGTCTTCACCAGATGGCTCTGCTGCTTAATAAGTAAAATCACGATCACAGAAGGTGATAACCAAGGATAGTTAGGTAAATGACCACACTCCATTTAATCACAGTTCAGAAGATCTTCCCTAATTTCTGCTGAAGTCTTCAATAATTTCACCTACCTCTGGAAGAAACTAGAGGACTAATGGGAAGAGTCCATTGGTGTTTATGTGGGAAAAGGAAGGTGCAAGCCATTCCAGTTTAAGGAAAGAAAGGAAGGGAGGGAGGGAGGGAGGAAGAGAGAGAAAGAAAAAGAGAAATGAGGAAAGGAAGGAAGGAAGGGAAAAGAGAGAGAAGAAGAAAGGAGCGTAGAAGAAAGGAAGGAGGGAGGAAAGAAGAGAAACTGACTTTCCAAGACACAGTTGAAGCAGCAGCTAAGAGGCAACATTATGAAAGTATGGGGTATCATTCTTCAGGATGCAGTGTATTTATTAAATCAGAGGCCTGTAAAGGGTACTGTGTTCCCAAAAGAAAGAATACATGGATCCAGGAACCAAGGAGTAGAAGCAGGAGTAGCTCCACTTACCATCTCTCTAATTGACCCACTCAGATATGTTGTGCTTTCATTTCTGTAACTCTGGGCTCTGCAGGGTCAAAGGTCCAGGTCCCCAAAGAAGATGCACCCTTGCCAAGTTACACAGAAAGGTCTCACTGAACTACAAGCTACAGCTTTTCCCAGGACACTTTGGATTTCTTGTGTCTAGGGACCAGCAGACATGACGAGGAGTTGCCATACTGTGGAGGCTAAGTAACCCTGATTAGCAGGAGTAAGATAGGGCTGCTTTTACCCAACAGAGGCAGAAAAGAATTTATGTAGAATCCAAGTAATCTACTTGGGCGCTTTCTGATACTCCCATGCTCCATTTTAACTGTGAATGTACGTGCGTAACAACCTCAGCCTGAGAAAAATATGATTACCGAGGGCTTAACCTCTCAGAATTGGTGAGAGGGTAAATAAGAATAAGCAACTAAGACCTGAGGGTGAAGGGAGATTAGAATACATGGTAAAGGAAGGAGTGGATGGGTGCTAGTTGCAGCCCTAAGATCTGCGGCATTGACAGTGACTACAGTTTGTTTGTCCACAGTAAACTTCTTCTAAGTTTCCCTTCAGGAACAGAGACTGGTAGGAAGCTTGGAGGAGTTGTCTCTTGAACCTGTCTGGGGAAGTAGATCTGTGTGACTCAAGAGGTGGACCTGGCCAGGCGTGGTGGTGAATGCCTATAATCCCAGCACTTTGGGAGGCCAAGGAGGGCAGATCACCTGAGGTAAGGAATTCAAGACCAGGTTGGCCACCATGGTGAAACCCCGTCTCTACTAAAATACAAAAATTAGATGGGTGTGGTGGCGCATGCCTGTAATCCTATCTACTCAGGAGGCTGAGAAAGGAGAATTGCTCGAACCCGGGAAGTGAAGGTTGCAGTGAGCCGTGATTGTGCCACTGCACTCCAGCCTGGGTGACAGAGTGACACTCCATCTCAAAAAAAAAAAAGAAGAAAAAAAGAAAAAAAAAAGAGGTGGACCCATTCTAAAAAAGTTTCTACATGAGTTTATAAGTACTTGCTTCTGCATGTCTGAAAAAATCTCTGTCTAATAAGAGAGACACACCTCAAAAGTTCTATCAATAAAAAAGGTACAAAAAAAGTCAGAATAAAAATAGGGCATAAAATCAATGCTATAAATATTAAACAGATTATGAATAACTTTGTACCAATATATTTGGAAACTTTAGACAAAATGGATAAATTCCTTCATGGGAAAAAAACAATCTGCCAAAGCTTTCTCAGGAAGAAATGGAAAAGTTAGCATCTCTTTAACCGTTCAGGAAATTGAAACAGAAGTTTAAAATAGTTTGAGACTAAGCCTGGTGGTGTGCACCTGTAGACCCAGCTACTCTGGAGGCTGAGGCAGCAGGATTATTCGAGATCAGGAGTTCAAGCCCAGGAGTTTGAGGCACCTGAGACCAAGTGTTCAAGGATCAGTTGAGACCAGTAGTTCAAGGTATGCTCTGTGATTGCACCTGTGAATAGCCACTGCACCCCAGCCTGGGCAACATAGGAAGACCCATATCCAAAAAAAAAAAAAGGAAAAGAAAAAAAAAAGCCATCTCAAAGAAAATAAGAAAATATCAGGACCAAACAACCTTACATGTGAGTTCTACCAAGTATTAAAATAGCATATAATTCCAGTTACAAAATAAAGAAAGAAGGACTACTCCCTAATTTATTTCTGGAGGCTAACATGTAACCTAGATATCAAAATTAAACAAGGCAGTACAAAAAAATTACAGACCAATCTCATTTGTGAACATAAATACAAAAAAAACTTAACAAAATATTAGCAAATTAAATTTAGTCATATATAAAAAAGATTATATCACATAACCAAAAAGGGTTTATCCCAGGAATACAAGGTTGGTTTAGTATTCTAAAATCAACTAATCTAATTCACCCCATTAACTGATTAAAGAAATATACTGTATAATCCCATCATTCAGTGAAATTCCCAATCCATTCAAGAGAGATAACCAGGAGCAGAAGGGAAGAAACTTCTCTAATCTAAAAATAGATTACAAAAGATCCACAGCAACAACCAGACCTACCAAAATGGCCCATTAAAGATTTCTTGAAGGCACTTTTATAGCGAGCATTAAGCTAAGTGCTAAATGCCAAAAACAAAGGCAAAACAGCTATAGCTCCTGGCATTGGGGGAAGGAAAGAAAGTAATAGTATCCAGTTTTGTCACTGGATTATTCCAAAAGGATAAAATCCCCACGCGAGTCTGCTCCACGGGCACCTGGCTAGTCAGTTCAAGGATGGCTGCCCTAGAGTCAAGTGCCCTCCTTCGCTTCAAAACCTTGTCACCATTTTGGTGGAGTCACATGTTAGAGAATATGAACAACTTTGGATGCTTCCTCTTGTGGATAAAATAACCTCCTTCAGAAGGGGATCGGTAATGTAATGGATTCCAAGAAAGAAATAAACTGTTCTCCAGTGCAGCTAAACTGTAAAGCTCGTAACACAAGTAGGTCCTCTGTGCATATTCACTTCCTTTCCATCTTACCTGAGGTGCTGCAGTGTGAATCTGAAGGTGGCAGATTGAATATTGAAGTGCTGCAGTGCTTGAAAGTTATAGTAGACTCAGAAATCTGTTCTTCAACAGTTAGACTGTATTTATGCTGGCTGAATTTTCTGTTTATTCACCTATTATCCTCTACCCGTGTCAGCAACCAAGAAACTTGCTGCCCGTCTCACTCTGTCTTAAAGGAAACCAAGAAAGAAGTTTTGGACTCTTGGCCTGCGGGAAGCATGTGGCTCGGCGCCCCCTGCCGGCCAATACGGAGGCCACCGGAACGGGGAGACCACGAAGGCTCTGGGCCGGCTGAGTTGCCCAGGCTCCTCCGACTTCTCCAGAAAGGGTTTTTTCCGGTGACACGGCGGGAGCCACAGGGATTTGTTTCCCTAAAGGAAGCGGCTTCCCACCTGGGTATCATCCCTAATACCCTCCGAAGGAGCCCATTGCGGAGAATGGCATAGAATGTCCCACAGAAGGCAGAAGGACCCTATGATCCAGGAAACCTAGGACCAGCCATCAGGAGGTTTTATGAGAGCAGCTGGTAGGAAGATCAGCCCCAGGAGAAGGGGATTGTCTAGCAGCTGGGTTGGAGCAAGGCTTTTCCAGAGTATTATTTCCGTAATTCAGGCTGCCTCCCACCGACCCTCCACTGCCACCTTATCCTCCACCAAAAGCCCTGACACTGTGGCAGGGATAGGGGACGTGGGGTTGGTGGGGAACAGGCTGTAAGAAAGACGCAGGAGGCTGCATGAGTCTGGGAACAATGAGGAGTCTGCGTGCAAGGGACGAAGCATTTACAAAGAAGACGTAGACAGTGCTGCAAAGATTTGAAGGCATAGGGTGCAAGTCACTCAGGTGCCAGTGTCAGGAGGAACCTAGCCATCCAGGTGAACAGGTGCCCCCTTCTTACAGCCCACTCGCATGGGCCTGGTGGACTCCTTCTTATTTTTGGTAGTGGCAGTGAAGAGGTCGGGTCCCTGTGCTGGCAAAACCGTCAGTGACAGTGACATCATGAGTCCTGTTGTGGCAGCTGCACATGGAGGGGCTGTTGGTGCAGGGCACTGGTGGAGTTCTGCAGAAATCTGCCATGGTGGTCAGATTCTCATGAATGAATGTGTGGATCTGCTTGCATTTACCTCTATGGATCAGCCAACGGCACCTCATCCTCACCTCACAGTATCGGTGGTGTCCTCTAGGGACCCAAGACCTGGAGTTGTCTATATGTCGTGTTAAGAAGAGGAAGGCTGGAGTGAAGACGGTTAGGTCTAAAAGGAGGAAAATGAGGAGGGTCCACATCAGATTCATGTTTCCTGTGAAAGCATTTCAAAGAAGAGCAGAGTCAAAAGAGCAACCTATGGTCCCTTGTCCTGTTCCTAAGAAGTCTTGGCCCAACACTTAATGTTTGCAGTTCTCCCCTCCTGCCTTTATCTACACTTATTCTTTGTGTGCTCATGGCAACAAGTGTTCTCGCATCCTTCTTCCACCTCCTTGTCAACAATGGAGAAGGCTACCGCCCTCTCAACCCTTTATGGGATTGTCATACTTACAAGGTTATTTCCAAACCCCAAAGTGATTCTTGTTCCTTACCTAAGCAGACCAGTTAAACTAAAAACGTTCATCTCTGAGGTGTTTGCATCTATCAGTCCATCTGCTACTGACCCATAGCCTGTGAGGTGAGGCAGGTATCACTGACAACCCCTTTTTAGAATGACTTAACTCAGAAGGGAATTGACAGATCCATATGACCTGCATCTTAGAAAATATTTTCACTTCCTTAAATACAAATGTCTGTTTTAACACTGTTTTTAAAAATGTGAGCTTTTCAATTCTAAGGGAGTAGAGTTTATGTTTCTCCCACGTATTTCTCTGCCTCAAAATAAAGATTCCCAACTCTTCCATGTATAGAGCCCATCATCCAGAAATGTTCTAATTCTTGGTGATCAGGGATTCTGGGTGACTGGGCGTGAGCCTTCTGTCTTTAGATCTAATATCCGACTCTTTTTTTAAATACCTGGGAGTTCCAGGAAAGGGTTTTCTGCAGAGTAGGTGACATCCACAGAGATGGATATATCCCTCTCAGAGTTGGATACTCCTAGTAAAAATGGAATCCCCGTTGCCTCTCTCCTTCTTCTAATCTTGTAGAAATTTCATTGTGGATGTTTTCTTCCCAAAGGTTAGGGTGCAGGCCGTATGGAAAACTCTCAGGCCTGTCAATGGTCTTAAACAGATTGCCAGGTAGTACTACTTTTATGCTTACTATTTCACACCTAAAATATTCACCAGCATCACACAGAGTGCCTACGACATCACTGCAAACATGCAGAAACTTGGAGTTTAGTGTGTATCATAAGCTTGCTATTGGAGCTTGGCAAATCACCTTATCCTTCTACTCCTCATCTCTAAAGTGAATATTATGGACAAAAGATCTCTTTCAGCTCTGACACTCTGTTTTTTTTTTTATACATTACTGTATGTTTGGGTTCATGTGTGATTTTGTGTATATGCATATTGGTTTGTACATGTTCAGGTTAGGAAAATGCTTAGTTTGCAAATTGAGTTTCCATTTGAGAATTGTTAATTTAATTAAGTGTAATTTTTCTTTAAAGCAGTCATTAGCAAGGTCAAAAAAAATTCAATCACTATTATGTAAACATTACAGCATAATCTGTTTTTGTCCCCACCATTAAAGTTATACGGGTTTTTTGGGTTTTGTTTCCTCGTTTGTTTGTTTTTTGAGACCAAGTCTTGCTCTGTCTCTCAGGCTGAAATGCAGTGGCATAATCTCGACTCACTGGAACCTCCACCTCCCAAGTTCAAGCAATTCTCTGCCTCAGCCTCCCGAGTAGCTTGGATTACAGGCATGGCCCACCATGCCCGGCTAAGTTTTGTATTTTTAGTAGAGAAGGGGTTTTACCATCTTTCCCAGGCTGGTCTTGAACTCCTGACCTCATGATCTACTGGCCTCGGCCACCCAAAGTGCTAGGATTACAGGCGTGAGCCACCGTGCCAGGCCATATTTATTTATATTTATTTTTGTGTATTTATTTATTTTGAGATGGAATTTCACTCTTGTTACCCAGGCTGGAGTGCAGTAATGTGATCTCGGCTCACCACAACCTCTGCCTCCCAGGTTCAATCGATTCTCCTGCCACACCCTCCCGAATAGTTGGGATTATAGGCGTGTGCCACCACGCCCAGCTAATTTTGTATTTTTAGTAGAGTCAGGGTTTCTCCATGTTGTTCAGGCTGGTCTCGAACTCCTGACCTCAGGTGATCCGTCCGCCTCAGCCTCCCAAAGTGCTGGGATTACAGGCGTGAGCAACCGCCCCCGGCTGAAATTATATATGTTTTTATTGAAGGAGAAATTGCTTGGAACTCCAGTCTGTATTTCAGTAAGGCAAGGGAAGAAATTAGTACGTACATTTTTCAGAACTCCAAAAACAGCTAAATTAGGGACCTGGTAATGGAGGCGGTGGGAGGAGTTGCATACACAGTCTATCAACAAGGTGTGATGTAGTAGATTTCATAGTTCTTTGTCCTAATAGGTCTCCTGGGCAGATAGGCCTCAAAAGCCTTTTATATAATTAAGCAAAACTGACTAATCTGTGACAAGAAGCTGAGTTGAGATCCAAAACCTAAATTTTAACATCCTTGATTTCTATCTGCTTTATAATTGGCCAAGTTGCCAAGAAAATAGACATGAACTCTTTCTTTTGTTTCTTTTGAGATGGAGTCTTGCTCTGCTGCCCAGGCTGGAGTGCAGTGCTGTGAGCTCAGCTCACTGCAACCTCTGCCTCTCGGGTTCAAGCAATTCTCCTGCCTCAGCCTCCCGAGTAGCTGGAATTACAGGAATCCCCCACCATGCCTGGCTAATTTTTGTATTTTTAGTAGAGACAGGGTTATGTTGGTCAGGATGTTCTCAATATCTTGACCTCGTAATCTGTCCACCTCATCCTCCCAAAGTGCTGGGATTACAGGCATGAGCCACTGCACCCAGCCAGAAATGAACTCTTTTTGAACTTCATGCTCAGTTATTCTTGTTTAACTCACACAACCATTCTGACAGGTATTTCTTATTATGATCACTTCTATGGATCTTATAATTTCTTGTGTTTATAGCCTCACATAACAGACCATTGTGTTTATAATATCCAATCTACTGGTGATATGGTTTGGATCCGTGTCCCCACAAAATCTCATGTCAAACTGTGGTCCCCAGTGTTGGAGATGGTACCTGGTGGGACATGATTGGATCATGCGGGTGTGTTTCTCCTGAATGGTTTAGCACCATCCTCTTGGTGCTGTTCTTGTGATAGTGAGTTAGTTATGAGATTTGGTTGTTCAAAAGTGTGCAGCACCTCCTCTCTCTCTCTCTTGCTTCTGCTCCCACCACGTGAGACACCTCAAGACCACTTGCTTCTCTTTACTCTGATTAAATAATCTTCATATAGCATTGTGATAACTGGTCTATCCTCACCAGTACTAGTGTGTATTACTAGCACAGAAGACAAAATATCATTGAAATAGAGTCTTCAGAAGTAAACTATGAACAATGGCGATTTGGTAAATCTCATAATGCTGGCATTTCTAACTGGAGAGGAAATAATGAATTGTTCAATCAATAGCACTTAGAATATTGGTCATCCATTTAAAAAAATAAGACTATATCCCTCTCTGATAACATAGAGTTTTTTTTTGTTGTTGTTGTTTTTGTTTGTTTGTTTGTATTTTTGAGACCAACTCTCACTCTGTTGCCCAGGCTGGAGTACAGTGGCTTGATCTTGGCTTCTTGTAACCTCTGCCTCCTGGGTTCAAGAGATTCTCATGCCTCAGCCTTCTGAGTAGCTGAGACTATAGGCATGAGCCACTATGACTGGCTAATTTGTATTTTTGGCAAGGAAATGCTTTCACCATGTTGGTCAGGCTGGCCTAGAACTCCTGACCTCAGGTGATTCACCCCCCTTGGCCTGCCAAAGTGCTGGGATTTACAGGCGTGAGCCACCGTGCCTGGCCATCATAGAGTTTTGAAATTGGAAAAGAGGGAACAAAACTGTCACTATTTACAGATATAATAGTATACGTTGAAAAATCTAAAAACAACGTGTCGGGACTCAGAAACAATAACTCAAACTATAGTGCTTTGGAATGAGGAGCACTCTGGGCTTTTTCTGTTGCTTGTTTGTTCTTAATTTTTTAAAAAAATATTTATATGGGCACAAATTAGGTGTATATCTTTATGGAGTACATGAGATATTTTGATATAGGCATATAATGCCTAATAATCACATCAGGGTAAATGGGGGTATCCATCCCCTCAAGCATGTATCCTTTATGTTACGGAGAAGCCAATTACACTCTCAGTTATTTTAAAATGTACAATAAAATTATTATTGACTATAGTCATCTTATATTTGTGCTATCAAATACTAGATCTTATTCTTTTTTTTTTTTTTTTTTTTTTTTTTGAGACAGAATCTTCCTCTGTTACCCAGGCTGGAGTGTGGTGCCGTGATCTCGGCTAACTGCAACCTCTGCCTCCTGGGTTCAAGTGATTCTCCTGCCTCAGTCTCCCAAGTAGCTGGGATTACAGGCATGTACCACCACGCCCAGCTAATTTTTGTATTTTTAGTGGGAACAGTGTTTCACCATGTTGCCCAGGCTGGTCTCCAACACCTGACCTCAGGTGATCAGCCTGCCTCAACCTCCCAAAGTGCTGGGATTACAGGTGTGAGCCACCGCACTCGGCCTATTCATTGTATTTTTTTACCCATTAACCATTAAATTCCCCCTCACCCTCCAATGCTAAGGGCTTTGAACTAAAGAAAATGAAAGGGTGCTACAAGCAGGCTCAGAACAAAGGGCTTTCTTAACTTCTCCTATTTTGCCCCCAAGTGCAGGATGAAACTCTTCCTCTCTGAAGTTACCTTATCCGAAGCTCCCCCAAAAAGAATCCAGTGGTCTTTGATCACCTCCCTGAGATTTTCTTAACCAGGGAAGATTAAACTCATGGCAGAAAGTAAGACTGAGGGATGTCACCACACCTAGGCAGACTTTGTCAGAAGCTATTGTCTATTCTTTGATCATATTCCAAAGAGTTTCCGAAGAGTATAATTTACAAACTATGGTCTGTTCTTTGGGTCCATTCAACTCTAAATTATTAAAAATAATTTCCTACTCCTCAAAATTGCCTACATTCCCCCATCTCTCTCTCTCCTGTGAAGAAGGGTATGTAAGATTCTGAACCTCACTGGGTTACTGGGTAGTCACTCTCTCGTCATTCCCCCATGAACAAAATAAACTTGCCTTTTCCTCCAGTTAATCTACCGTTGGTTTATTTCAGCAAACTCAAATCTTAAAGGGAAAGGGAAATTCCCCTTTGCCCCTACACATGCAAATTAGTTATTTAGATTAATAATTGTTAGATATAAAATTGGCATATAGTTTATTTATTTTTATATTTCAGCACAAGGGAGGGAAAAATGACTTCCACCCTTTTAGGTTTTTTTTGTTGTTGTTGTTGTATTTTTGCTGGGCTACAAGTTAG